CAAAGAAGACGATTCATGCTTTCTTCTATGTGATCCTAACATGCTGCCGTATATTAGACTGCAGACTGTTGTACAGATTGTTCAACTGAAAATAAGTTTCCTGGTCAAAGATGGATGCAGCATGTTGAGTGTTCTACCTGATCTTGTTTGGGCCTGTTTTTAAAGCCGTCTTACACTTGATGGCATCCCAGCTACAATGCAAAAACTTCTGCCAAAACATGGACGGTCTCTGCAGGGAGTTGATGAGGTCTTCAGGCATGTGAAGAATGCAGTGGGTTTGCCATTAAGCGCGATAGATGTTGGCAGAAAAGATAAGGGAGACACAAAAGGCCCAGCTTGATTTTATCTGGTTAATACAAAATAAATGTTGGCAGGAAATCCCAGGAAGAAGACAATCCCAGCAGATTTTGTCTAACCTAAGTTTGTTAGATTATGCTTTTTAATCAAGCTTAGCAGAACAAAAAGATAAGGTCACAAACAATTTCATCTTGGTTAGAAGGTCTTATAACTCTGATGCATACACGACTGTATAACGCTGACATCTCAGAGGACCTATCATTGACTCCACTGTTCTAATAAGTTCTTTAGGTTGTGCAGTGGGGTCATCATTCAGTGGAAAAGGAGCTGTAATTGCATCCTAGGTGATCAGGTTACAATTAACCAGGTGCAAGTGCAGATCTACACATATTTCTTGCATCAGTGATGCATGAAGGTGCAGTTGTTCAGTGATTGTGCTCCTTGTCCCAGGCCCCAAATTAATCATCTGAAGAGCTGCCACACCCAGTTCTGGCCCTGTAAAGTTTTACATGTTCCCTGCGTCAACGCCCCTTTGGACGACCACTGGACACCCCTAATCAAGAACTAAAAATAAATCGCAGCTTTTGCCTTAATTGTTTACACTTTATTACATTTATACAAAAAGATCAGTTCAAACATTAACAATCCTTGTTTGATGTCGCCAAGCAAAGCCCTTAATGCTCATTTACCTTCCCACTGATGGGACTGAAGGCGGTGCTGGCTCGACTTAGCTCAGCTTTAGGTTTGTTGGGTTCAGACTGTCTGATTTAAGATGTTTGTTGTGTGATGCTGAAATCTGCTCTCTGCTATTGCACATATGTGTAGCCAACACTGAAGCCGTGTAAATGCCTTCAAGAGTGTTAATTATGCTGAATTTGTAAGGGTAGCTTTCCATATGTTCCCTGATGGGAGAAATAACTTGGGACAATAAACAGAAGGGGTGACACCTTTCATTTTCTGAAGATCAAACGCTCAATGGTTTAAGAGAAGGTATAAATGAATCAGCTGCTTTTGACAAACAGTTAGAGCTGGTTCAACTTGTGATAATCCTTATGATTGTTTATAGGTACGCAAAGCATTACATGGAAAATAATGTTCCCAAACGAACCCTCCTCAAAGTGTTTGGCATTAGGTTTGATATCATTGTGAAGTCACTGGTGAGTATGCCAATCGTTTTATGATTGAAACGCATTCCTCAAAGAAAATGGTCTTGTGTCATTGAAAGTGTGTCCTCCACAGGCAAGAAAATTTGACATCATTCCAACGCTGACAGCAATAGGCTCTGGAGTGGGAATCTTTGGAGTGGTATGTTGTAATCATTAACCTATTAACAAATGACTCATTGTAAGTTAAAGGGTTGGTTCAGATCCTTGAATTGGGGTTTTTGTGGAAAAGCTGTGAACAAATAATATCTTATCTGTGGAAAAGTCAGCTTGCTGTTGTTGTGCCTCTGAGCCACCAAGCTGCAGTTATACTCAACAATGAATGAATTATAGACATCTGACAGGATCTCAGAAGTTGAAACTGTGGGGTGATAAGATGGTCTCTTTGGCACGTCTCCTCCTCCAATGCCGGCCCTCTTCCTTGTTGACAGTCGTGTCAAACTGGTTGAAAACAACAAAGTCCATGCTCAATAATCCAGGTATACAATCCAACATTTTTCAGTCAGGTCATCTGAACGGTTTCTTTTTTGGTCTTGAAACGTTTCGCCTTCGATCCGGAAGGTTTCATCAGTCAAGGAAACACACAGTACATGGCAATGGAGGAGGGGGCGTGACAAAGAGACCATCTTAGCGCCAACATAACTGGTTTGTCCACTTTGGAGTAAGCTGTTGGGGGAAGAATCACTTTTGTGTTGTGCGTTTCCTTGACTGATGAAGCCTTCTGGATAGAAGATGAAATGTTTCAGCACAAAAAAAGAAACTGTCCAGATGACCTGACTGAAAAATGTTGGATTGTATACCTGGATTATTGAGCATGGACTTTGTCATTTTCTGAAAGGTTTATTTATTCCAACTCAGTTTATTTAAAGAGCCATCTACAACATGTAAGATATTAACTGTTTGAATCCTTCATTGTAAGCCCCCTTACTTCAAAAGATCAGACGTTTTAACCGCTAACGAATTTTGTTTCCTCCCTTTTCAGGCAACAGTAGTTTGTGACTTGGTCCTGCTGCATCTGCTTCCAAAACGAGAGTTTTACAAGAACATGAAATTCAAATATACAGACACACAAACACAGGTAAGACTGAACTCCTAATGCTTCGTTCTGTTTAAACACTAGATGGCATCAGAGGCACTTATGATTGCCAGTTGGATATAACATTAATTTTTTGACTTGTGATAATTTATGTCAACATATTTCGGTTGTTGATCAGTAACTGCTAGAAACATCACGGTGACCTTCAGTAACCCACCAAAGAGCCTTCAGTGCTCGGTACTTTACCGTCACCTATCAAATGAAATCTGCCCAAATCCCATTCAGAAAGTCCTCACCTGAAACGGTGCATATTTACAGCAGGACAGCGAGTTGCTCGGTAAAGACTCAAACATCTATTACACCCTCGATGCAAATGCAAGACAAGACCAAGTCAAAGACAAGTCCAATGTGAGTGCATGTCAGAGTCTGGGCAGTAGAGCAGATTTTCATTATGTTCAAAGTATTTTTATCATGTGATGACGAGGAGGATCATATTGATAAGAGGTCTTAACAGTTCCTGTTCTGTGGCTTGTGTCCTACAGGATCCTGATTCAGAGGCAGGAAGCATAGAGACCGAGGTATCTGAAATACAGGGGCAACATTAAAGCCAGCGTGAGGTGTTCTAGTCAAGGCTGATGGCTCTTTTTCTTGTGTAGAAGTGACTTGGGAGCAAAGAAGCCACTAGCCATGCTGCTGATGAACTGAACTGGGACAGCACCATGGATCGTGCAAGAACACAGCACCGCACACATTCACCGGACTCCTGAGAAAAAAGAAAAGGCCTCGGTATTCTGCGTGTTCTGCATTTCTCCTTGATCCTCAGCAGCGTCTTCAGCCAACAAGATGCTCCCACTTTCAAAGCCAACATGAGTGACTGTCAGTCTTGCTGTTCTGATAACAAAGCTCCGTCGTACGTGTACTTTTTGGGTGTTGTTCCGTTTACTTTTGTTCACGCGGTGGGTGTAACCTCCACAACTTCGCTGATATCTGGAAACAAGCGGGCGAGAGAGGACGATCCGGCACTTTGGCGTCTGTGTGTACATGGACCATTCATCACCTCTGTCAGTGTCACTGTCATAGCAGAACACACAAACGGAGCTTGTGTTTGCATGCGCTGCTGGAGTCGTCCACCCCGTGTGTGCACACTGTGATCAATAAAGCGGTACAGTAACATTTGCAAATTAGCAAGACAAACCTTTAGGTGTTCAGACTTTTTTTTAATTGTTGTTGAATACGTTCAAGTGTACAAAAAGCATGCGAAAATATCTTATTTATATGAGTACATATTTACATCGAGAGAATTGCATTCCACTGCCATGCTTCTGTTTGAGCGACCTGACACAGGCGAGTGCGTACATTCAGAAATGTGAGACATGACACAAACCCAAAGGGACAACAGGCGTCGAACACACACAGATCAGACAGAAACATTTAGATAAACAGCAGAGGTCCAAGACTCCCTGATTTCACATCATATACTCACATTGCAACTCCTCAGAGATAAATATGTTCTGACATTAGCTGTGCAGCCACGACAGCTGCACCTCGCTCTTGTTTCAACAAAGAAAGGAGAAAAAGTAGAACATATACAGTAAGGGCAAACTGCTGCAGAGACTGTGCAGACTTCAGGTGGTCACTAAGTCTAAAGCTCTGCAGATGTGCAAAAAAACAAAAATGGAAAAACACAAAGTAAAAACAGTACAAAGTAAGGCTGCGCACAAAAAATGTGTCGTAAGTTAGTTATGATCACAAAAGAGATTTTTAGGTGGAAAAAAAAAACCCCATTGAAAACTGGTAAAAGTCTTAATGGATGGGAAAATGGGAACGAGAAAACTGAGCTGCGGCTGTTGGCGACAAATTGCAAACAACGTTTGTGAAGGAGTTTCTAAACGTCTCAAAACATTATGGGGGTTTTCCAGTTCCTCACGCGAGTCGATGTGTCGCAGGTTTTTTTTTTTAAATGTTAAAAAAAAAAACTGGTGCCATGACTTTACTCTCAATTTAGTCATGAATAGAGCTTTTCCACTCAAGACTGGTGCCAGAACTGGTTCTTAAAAATACGATTAACTAGTTTGGTGAAATTAAAGGAGCGACATCAACTAGGGGTGCACCGATTGCAGCTTTCTGGCCGATCACCGATTTCTAAAAAGTCTGACCTGCAGATTCTGATTTTGGCCGATACCGATTTTGTTTATAAGCGACACGGTCAGGTGTTGTAAGGTCACAATGCACCTTCAATTTTCCAATATTAATTTATTGGAAAACATGCCCTTGAACAACATCCTAGAAACAATACAAACTTGTTTTAACTGGCCATGAGGTAATGCTCTAAATTTAAATGAAGTTCAGACAATTGTTAAAACTAAAAAAAAAAAATCAGTAAAATTAGTTTCTCATGTAAGTATCAGCTGATTTCCAGTCTCACAAAATAAAAAAAAATGGGGCCAATAAATCGATTTATCGGTGCACCCTATAACGTCCATACATCGTATGAAGCATCTCTTCCAGTAAATGAGCGACCCTCCCTCTGATGCATTATGAGGTTCTGTAGAGCATCACCGAGCAGGACACTTTATCTCCACAGATCATAGTTTGTGGTATTATTCCTGCCAACAGATGTGCTAATATCATCCATCTCGTTCATAAACAGTCAGTTTATGAAACGTTCTGTTGGCCGACATTCAATTGGTTAATTCTGCCGAGAGCCAGAGTTGCACACGTTTTCAACAGCACTCGAACAACAGGTGATGATTTTATAAGAGCTGAAAAAGTTGATAAATGGCTCCTTTGGACAACGTTTATGAATCCAGTTGAAAACGGGCGTTATAAAGGCAGCTCTTATTAAGAAAGAAGAGAAGTGTTTTGGTTAAATAAGCAAAGTAAAAGTAACAGAGCTTGGTCCTCAAACATTTGCTCTGGTTGTTGGTCTCCATGAGCAACAAAACTG